AGTCACTGGCACAAAAAGGAGGGGGTTGGACAGGAAGGATCCAGCAGCAAACGGGACTGTGGTTCCCTGAAAAAGCAGCATTTCTTGGTCAGTTATTCCTCTGTGGGCAAAATTTCAAATTCTCCAGACTGCTGAAACACTGTTTAGACATAAAAGAGGCTGTTTTATGGAATTTATGAGCTATGAAATCATACTCTGTGCGTAGCATTGAGACCCTCTTACCTGAGAGCCCCAAACATTAAAATATGAAAATCCAACCACAGATACGTTCTAGAATTCATTACAAATCCAGCATTTTATACTGGGCCCTTTGCACCACAATAAAGAGTGTTCTGGGCTGGGAAAGGAGCTTTCAGAAATTGAAAGAAAGGCAGAAGGCAGATCTTCAGTCACTTCCAAGAAAAAGTCTGCAGATTCCCAGAGGCTCTTGGGCTCTGCTTTTCCTGCCAGCAGCACTTTAAGTGATTCTGAATTTCGTTGCTGTACATGTAGGAATTGTGGGGTTGTTTTAACTGTCCTTAAGGGGAATTCCTGCTCTTTTTAACATGGAACATCCTGGGATTTGAAGGGAGGTTTGCACTTAAAAACAGTAGCCTGGGATTTTGGAACCTGGGGTTTTGAAACCCAAAATAACAGAATAGCTTCTGTGTGCTGGCTCGGGTCAGGAAACAGAAAGAAATGCAGGGAAATCTGCTGCTGGCCAATCCAGGAGCTTCCAACATCGCTCATCTGAGAGTCTGGGAGCTCTGTCCTGCTGCTCCCAGGTCCATTCCTGGTGCTCTGGGATGGGCTCTGGGTGCTGCCATGGGATGGGCTCTGGGATGGGCTCTGGGATGGGCTCTGGATGATGCCACGGGATGAGTTCTGGATGCTGCTCTGGGACAGGCTCTGGATGCTGCCATGGAATGGGTTCTGGGTGCTGCCATGGGATGGGCTCTGGATGAGCTCTGGATGAGCTCTGGATGGGCTCTGGATGGGCTCTGGGTGCTGCCATGGGATGGGTTCGGGATGGGCTCTGGATGCTGCTCTGGATGGGCTCTGGATGGGCTCTGGATGGGCTCTGGATGCTGCTCTGGGAGCTGCCATGGGATGGGCTCTGGATGGGCTCTGGATGGGCTCTGATTGGCCTCTGGATGCTGCTCTGGGATGGGCTCTGGATGCTGCTCTGGGATGGGCTCTAGGATGGGCTCTGGATGGGCTGTGGATGGTGCCATGGGATGGGCTCTGGATGAGCTCTGGATGAGCTCTGGATGGGCTCTGGATGGGCTGTGGATGGTGCCATGGGATGGGCTCTGGATGGGCTCTGGATGGGCTCTGGGATGGGCTCTGGATGGGCTCTGGGTGCTGCCATGGGATGGGTTCTGGGTGCTGCCATGGGATGGGCTCTGGATGGGCTCTGGATGGGCTCTGGGTGCTGCCATGGGATGGGCTCTGGATGGGCTCTGGATGGGCTGTGGATGGTGCCATGGGATGGGCTCTGGATGAGCTCTGGATGAGCTCTGGATGGGCTCTGGATGGGCTCTGGATGGTGCCACGGGATGGGCTCTGGATGGGCTCTGGATGGGCTCTGGATGAGCTCTGGATGGGCTCTGGATGGGCTCTGGGTGCTGCCATGGGATGGGCTCTGGATGGGCTCTGGATGGGCTCTGGGTGCTGCCATGGGATGGGTTCTGGGTGCTGCCATGGGATGGGCTCTGGATGGGCTCTGGATGGGCTCTGGGTGCTGCCATGGGATGGGTTCTGGGTGCTGCCATGGGATGGGCTCTGGGTGCTGCCATGGGATGGGCAGACTGCCTCAGCCACTCCCTGTGTTTGTCACCGCCGTGTCCCCGCTCTGGTGCTCCCTCCTGGCCCCAGCAGGGGTGACAGCCCCAGCCCGGGCTTGGCGGCTGCTGGGGAGCCCTTGGGTGTTTTCTTTTTATAGGAACGACCGAAATAGCTCCAGGCTGTGTTTGGGTGTGCAGTCAGATCAGGTTCCCCGGTCACATGGCGGGGATGAGGAGCGGCTCTGACAGGCTGGAAAAGAGAGGGGGGCCAGGATGGTGGGTGGGGATGGCAGAGGTGGGGCTGGGGGGCTGAGGCACCACAGCTCTGCACCCACTGAGCACCAGCTGAGCTCTGTGGGAACCCAGGACATCCCTCTGGCTGTCCAGAACGGCCAGGACCCCTGCCAGGGGGCTCAGAAGCCCAAAATGCCCCTGTGGTTTTGATTATGAACCCTGGAGCAAATTACTAACCTTATATGAAGATCAGCAAGCCACAGCAGTTTAGGTAGAATAATAGTGAATTTATCACAGGGTGAAAAATAGATTTTGGGGTTTTTAGAATGGGAGTTCAGGGGGCAAGATGGAGGGAACTGGGTGTGCCCAGCCTTTCTCCTTCTTCTTCTTCTTCTTGGCCTCCATCTTCTGCTGTGATGGTGACACTTTTGGGTTGGTTTAGAGTAGGAGCTCACTGTCTAACATGGGTGACAGGTATTGGGAAGTAATTGTAAATATTGTACAGGTAGTTTTTAGTACAAAGACATAACACCCTCCTGGGACAGGCAGAGTGCCTGGAACTGTCCTGCTGGACGGACCTCGGCAGGGCAGGAGAAAATTTTTATAGATAAGACAGAATAAACAACCTTGAGACCGAGAAATGAAGAGCTCCACTCATTCTTCAACAGCCAGGCTGGGAAAAGAGATTTTTAACATTTCTCAACCAGCAAAACATCCTGAGAATGGCGAGGCAGAGCCACAGCAGGGCAATCCCAGCCCCTGGTGCTCCCTGGCTGCTCCAGGAGAGGCACCTGGAGAGGGGTGCCACACACTCCTCTGCCTGGGCACCTGAGTGGGCAGCACTGGCCATGGGGCAGTTCCAGCTCCTCCCCAGCTGCTGCTCCACCATCCAGGCCCACATCAGAGCTGAGCCATGCCGTGCTGAGCCACACTAACATATCTGAGTGTCCCATGCCATTGTGGCCTCTGCCACCCTTCACAGTGCAGATCCATGCCATGCTGTGTAGCAGCCTGAATAGCTGCTAGTATAGTAAGGAAATAAAAAATATATATAGTATAAAAAATATATAGTGTATATTTATATATTTATATATTTATATATTTATATATTTATATTTATATATGTAAAAATATATAATATAATATATAATATAATATAATATAATATAATAATAATATTATATATTATATTATATATTATATTATATATTATATGTTATTAATTATATATATAAATTTATATAATTCATATATTTTTATATATAATTATATATGTAATTATATATAATTATATTATATATTATAATACAATATAATATAATATAATATAATATAATATAATATAATACTATATTATATAGTATATGTATAAAAATATATAGTAAGGAAACAAAAAAGATCTTTGCATAATATCCACAGGTGTTTTATTCAGCCACATGGTGAGATGTTCAAACCTTGACACCCACACACAGAGGGTCTGGCTCACTGTCCTGGTTCAGGGCAAATTTGGGAGAGAACCCCCAAAGGGGCTCCTCTAAGAAAGCAGATTTATTTGGCCCCTCCCCACAACTGGTCTGGGAGAAAACACCTCCTTGGAAAAAAAAAATCAAATAATAATTATTTATTATTTAAAATAAATTTATTTGTTTATTAAATAATAAAACCTAAATAATATTAAACAATAAAACCCCTTGCTGCTCCAAAAGTGATGACAAACTCAGAAAGTCCCCATCCCCGGGTTGCAGCTCAGCTCACTCAGGCTCTGCTCAGTCCCTCCGGTGCTGGAAATGTCACAGGCCAGGCCTGGTGGCCACAGGTGGAGCTGCCAGTGCTCTGCTGGGTGTTCAGTCCAGAGCAGGTTTAAACAGCTCCAAAGAAAAGGAAAAAACCCAAAAATCCAGGAAACTTGTCTGCCTTAGCAAGCTAAAACTAACTAAAAGCAAAAGAGAGCTCTATCCTGTGTCTGTCCATCCACAGACAGCACAGTCCAGGAGCAGGAATGTGGAGGAGTGGAGTGCAGTGTCTGAAAACAAACTGAGCTTCTTCTCTCCCCCCTTCAGTCTCTGGAACAAGGCTTAAAGGTGCAAAACTTATTATTCAGCATAAACAGAAGAAGACAATTGGGGATAAAAGCATCATAGAGTCAACCCAGGACAATTCACTTTCTGCAGGGGCCTGGGGGCTGGCCCTGCTCTCAGGGCAGACCAAAGGTGAGGGAGAGTGTGATGGTATTCAGGGGTCCGAGGATGAGGGAAGAGATGAGGATCTGAGTCTATGTTTCAGAAGGCTTGATTTATTGTTTTATGATATATATTCTATTAAAACTATACTAAAAGAATAGAAGAAAGGATTTCATCAGAAGGCTGGCTAAGAATAGAAAAAGAAAGGATGAATAACAAAGGCTTGTGTCTTGGACAGAGAGTCTGAGCCAGCTGGGCTGGGATGTGCTGGTCCCCTTGTGGGTGGTTCTTAGGGACAGCAGTGCAGCCCCTTTGGGGGTGATTAGAGGAGGGCAGGAGTGACACTCTTTGTGCTTGGGCTTTTCTGAGAACAGCCCTCAGGAGAAGAATTTGGAGGTTTTGGTGGACGAGAAGCTTGATAAGACCTTGGAGTCCTTTTCAGTACTTAGAGGGACTAGAAAATTTTGAGGGGGATTTCGGACAAGGGTCTGGAGTGACAGGACAAGGGGGAATGGCTTCCCAGTGCCAGAGGGCAGGGTTAGATGGGATATCGGGAAGAAATTGTTCCCTGTGAGGGTGGGGAGGCCCTGGCACAGGTGCCCAGAGAGGCTGTGGCTGCCCTTGGATCCCTGGAGGTGTTCCAGGCCAGGTTGGACGGGGCTTGGAACAACCTGGGATAATGGAAGATGTCCCTTCCCATGGCAGGGCGTGGAACAAGATGAGCTCTAAGGTCCCTTTGAACCAAAGCAGCTCCATCATTTCCTGATGACTGTGATTATTGCTGCCGTGCCACTCACCTGTGCCACCCTTTGCCCTGCAGGAATGCCAAGAAGGAAGGGGACCTGCTGACTGCCCAGGCACGCCTGAAGGACGTGGAGGCTTTGCTTAACTCCAAGGAGGCCGCGCTCTCCACGGCCCTGGGTGAGAAGAGGAACCTGGAAAATGAAGTGCGAGACCTGAGGGGACAGGTGGCCAAGGTGAGCAGTGGCAGCTGACCCAGGGATCCCTTTTTCCTCCCTGCCTGGGGCTGCCGGGGGCTGTGGGGCAGATGCAGTTGGGTGGGGGTCCCCAGCCATGCCCAGAGCCCTCTGTGATGTTCCTTCTCCATCCCCTGGCAGCTGGAAAGCGCCCTGGGCGAAGCCAAGAAGCAGCTGCAGGATGAGATGCTGCGGCGCGTGGATGCCGAGAACCGGCTGCAGACCCTCAAGGAGGAGCTGGAATTCCAGAAGAACATCTACAGCGAGGTGAGCTGGGATGTGCTGTGTGGGATCACCCCCACTGGGTGTGCTGTGTCCCCTCCCTGAGGTTGATAGTGGAGCCCAGGAAAAAGTTAAAGATAGAATCTAAAATGTTAGGCTTTGTGCTTTCCCAGATCAACTGCACCTGCGTAAGCAGTATGATAAATTATATAATTGCTAGATGTGATGATTGTTTAGTAATTAAATATAATTTTTATATAACCATAAGAAGAATAATGAGAAACTATGTTGGAAGTTCAGAGAGGGGCTAAATTTATGTATACAATAGAACAATATAAGTTTAATAATTAACATGAAAGTTATATAACGATAGAGTATAAAACATGATCATTTCTGATGTATGGTCGGAGTCAGATTTGGATTGAATATACCCGATTCCCAGAGCTCTTAATAAAAAGCACTGCATATAATCCCCCGTGATTATGTGTTTTTGCACGCTAACAAGGTGACCCAGTGTGACACTGTTCACAGGGGTCTTAGGATGAGGGAAGAGACGAGAATATTGACTCCATGTTTCAGAAGGCTTGATTTATTATTTTATGATATGTATTATATTAAAACTATACTAAAATAATAGAAGAAATTATTTCATCAGAAGGCTGGCTCAGAATAGCAAAAGAATGATAACAAAGGCTTGTGACTGACCAGAGAGTCCGAGCCAGCTGACTGTGATTGTCCATTAATTAGAAACAACCAACATGAGACCAATCCCAGATCCATCTGTTGCATTCCACAGCAGCAGATAGCCATTGTTTCCATTTTGTTCCTGAGGCCTCTCAGCTTCTCAGGAGGAAAAAACCCTAAGGAAAGGGATTTTTCCTGAAACATGTCTGTGACAAGCCAGTGTCCCCTGGTGTCCGCAGGAGCTGCGTGAGACCAAGCGGCGCCACGAGACGCGGCTGGTGGAGATCGACAACGGGCGGCAGCGCGAGTTTGAGAGCAAACTCTCCGAGGCCCTGCAGGAGCTGCGCAGCCAGCACGAGGCCCAGATCAGGCTGTACAAGGAGGAACTGGAGAAAACCTACGGGGCGAAGGTGAGCAGATCCCCCACACCGCTCTCCCGTCCCTCCAGCCCCAAAGAGGGCGGGTGGGCTGCGGGTGATGAGGTGCTGATGCCCCTGTCCTGTCCCCCAGCTGGAGAATGCCAAGCAGTCAGCTGAGAGGAACAGCAACATGGTGGGTGCTGCCCATGAGGAGCTGCAGCAGACCCGCATCCGCATTGACAACCTCTCCTCAGAAGTCAGCCAGCTGCAGAAGCAGGTGGGTTGAGACCAAAGGGTTCCTTGGGATGGTCCCAGGTGGAGTGGCTCGCCTTCACCTTCCCTCCCTGTAGGAATGTGCCCCCTCTTGACGGAGTGACCAAATTATCCTTTGTCTCCTTAAAAAAAGGAAATAAGCCCAAAAGTTTCTCTCCTCAATTGGGTGAAAAGACACCTCATAGGACCTTGGGGGCTTCACCTCAAATTTAAGGATAGCCAACTGGACAGAAGCCAAAAGCAATTTACTAGGAAAAGAAGGGAACAAAGGAACTAATTGCTTTTGTGAGGTGTTTTACCAGGAGCAAAAGCCTCTTACCCCTGGCTCAGTTTTTCTCTGTAAAGAGCTGTTATTTTGCCTTTATTGAAATTTTTCGGTTTCCAAACCACCACAGAAGCCACCCTGCCGATTTGATGGATCTGAGGTGGCTGAGCTATCTCAGGTGTCATATAGACCTCCAAGAGCTCATAAGACCTGGCTCAAGGAGACCAATCTGTCCCCTCCCCACAGCTGGCTGCCAAGGAGGCGAAGCTGCACGACCTGGAGGACATCCTGGCCAGGGAACGCGAGACCAACCGGCGCCTGCTGTCCGACAAGGAGCGGGAGATGGCCGAGATGAGGGCGCGCATGCAACAGCAGCTGGATGAGTACCAGGAGCTGCTGGACATCAAGCTGGCCCTGGATATGGAGATCAACGCCTACCGCAAGCTGCTGGAGGGCGAGGAGGAGCGGTGAGCTCAGGGTGCTGCGCCCAGCTCTGGGCCACAAGGGTCTGTCTTGGTTTGGAAAGACAGGAGCCTGCTAAGGAAGGCAGGAGCCTCCCCTGAAATGGAGAATGTAAACCCACCTCTTCCAATTGCTATAAATTTTAAATTAAGGGGCTCTCAGGCAAAAATATGGGAGCAGGAAATAATAGTTCTTTAATAGGGAAAAGAAAATAAAAAAGGATAAAATAAGCAATGCAGTACACTAGAACAACACTGACAGAATCAGAACCCAACCTGACACCCTGTGGGTCGGGGTGTTGGTGGCAGTCCCATTGGAATTGTGGCTGCAGCCCTCCTGCAGGGTCAGGTGTGGCTCTGTTGGAGCAAGAGGGATCTGTAGAGAAGGATGTATTCTTCCTCTGAAGATCCAGTGGAAGGAGAGACAGCTGCTGCTCCTCTGGGAAATCCTGTGGAGAAAGCCATGCTCGTGTCTCAAAACCTCTGGATTATATCTGGGTAGCAATGCTTGGCTCCTCCCTCTGGGTGGAGCATCTCCCAATGGGATGTTATAGTTCTTATCAGCCATGCAGTGACATTCAATAGCTGTTATCAGCAGATGTCCCCTCCCCAGGGAGGTGTGATTGTGGTCACTCAAAGAGAGAGATAAAGCAAACTGCCCACTTGACAAAGATAATCTGCCATACAGAGGGTAATGGAAAACATCTTGCATTGCAATCTTCAACAGGGTCCCAGCCTTTGTGAACTCACTGGTTTAATCTCCTCTTCTCCCCTGCCAGGCTGAGGCTGTCCCCCAGCCCTTCATCCCACAAAGGTGCCTCCCGGAGCCACCTGTCCACTTCGAGCTCCTCCAAGAAGAGGAAGCTGGAGGACAGCGAGAGCCGGACCAGCTTCTCCCACCATGCCCGGACCAGCGGCCGTGTTGGCGTGGAGGAGGTGGACCTGGAGGGCAAGTTTGTCCGTCTCAGGAACAAGTCCAACGAGGTGAGCTTGTCTTTGGTGAGATCCCTACTGTTGGGGTCTCTAGCTTGTCAGAGTGACCCCAAGAAATGTTGGAAAGTCTCTTTTCCCAGCCCGGTGCTAGTAGGAGTCAGGGCTCTTCACTTCTTGTTCTCCAGGGTTGTTTATTCTTTCTTATCTATAAAAAATTTTCTCCTGTCCTGCTGAGGTCCACTCAGCAAGACAGTCCAGGCACTCTGCCTGCCCCCAGAGCAGTGTTATGTCTTTATACTAAAAACTACCTGTACAATATTTACAATAACTTCCCAATCCCTATCACCTATGTTAGACAGTGAGCTTCTACTCTAAACCAATCCAAAAGTGCCACCATCTCAGCAGAAGATGGAGGTCAAGAAGAAGAAGGAGAAAGGCTGGGCACACTCAGATCTTTCCATCTTGCCCCCTGAACCCCCATTCTGAAAACCCTAAAATCTATTTATTCACCCCGTGATAACTTCACTATTATTCTATTAAACTGTTGTGGCTTGCAGATCTTCATCTAAGGTTGACAACTTGCTCCACAGGTCATAATCAAAACCACACAGGTGTTTTGGGCTCTGTGCCAGGGTCCCTGAGAGCCCTGGCAGGGATCTTGGCTGCTCAGGACAGACAGAGGGATGTGCTGGGTCCTGGCACCCTAGGGTCCCTGGGGTGAGGTTCAGCCCTGCTTCACCCTAGGGGCAGGAGGTGAATGGGACAAGCTGGAGAGGGTTCTGAGGGTCTCTGCTCTCTCTCACAGGACCAGGCCATGGGGAACTGGCAGATCAAGAGGCAGAATGGGGATGATCCCCCCCTCACCTACCGCTTCCCCCCGAAGTTCACCCTCAAGGCTGGCCAGGTGGTCACGGTGAGTCCCTGCCTGGTGGAGGATCCAGGAAAGATCCCAAACCCTGCCAGGCCACTTACACGGAGTGCTTGGTGTGTGGTGATAGACAGACCAGAGAAGTCACTTTTCTCCTGCTTTTCTCCCTAGATCTGGGCCTCGGGAGCTGGAGCAACCCACAGCCCCCCCAGTAACTTGGTGTGGAAAGCCCAGAGCAGCTGGGGCTCAGGGGACAGCCTGCGCACCGCCCTCATCAACTCCAACGGGGAGGTGAGAGCCCCTGGCAGCTCTGGCACACAGGGATGGGGGGTGACAGGCTCTGAACCTCCCAACTGACCCCCTGTCCCCTGCAGGAGGTGGCCATGAGGAAACTGGTGCGCACTGTGATCATCAATGACGATGAGGATGAGGATGATGACGAAATGAGCATCCACCACCGCCACCACCATGTGAGTAGGGCCCTGAGTAGGGGGTGCTGGTGGTTCCAAGGGGGTGCAGCTCCAGGCAGGGCGGGAGGGAGCTCAGAGCAGGATCAGGCATGCAGGAGAAGGCAGTGGGGAGGCTGCTGTGGAAACAGCAGCATCAGAGAAGCCCACAGACCTCTGGCATCTGGAGGAGAGTGCTGCTCACTAAAAAAGCTCTGAAAACCTTGCTGGAAGTTGTCTCCAACCCTAAAGAACCCTGATGTGCCATGAAAAGGGCCAGAAGAGTCAGAGGGAGGCTGAGCATTGCTTGGAGGATAGGATGGTGGGAAGATGATGGATGACACTTCTTGTCAGCAGCTGCTCTGTCCTCTCTGCTTCATGAGGGTGCTGGAACAAATCCAGAGGTGGCTTTGTCCTTCCTCTCAGCCCATCTTTCCCCATGTGGAGCTGCAATATGCACGAGGAGGGGCAGCAGGCAGTGGGCAGGGAGCAGGCAGCATGCCAGGGGCAGAGCTGCAGCCTCTTCTCCCAGAGAAGCATCCCTGGCTGCTGCCCATCCTGCAGGGTGTGTGTGCCCACAGGAATCATGCAGAGAGGTGCCATCGTGGCCAAGCCGTGCCTCAGTGAGGGTGGAAGATCATCTAGGTGTCACTTCCAGGAGCAAATTGGGGCATCCATCATCCACTTCCCTCTGAGTTCTCTGGATCTGAAGAGCTGTGCTGAGACTGACACCAGCACGTTGAGCTGGTGGATTGTCCTCCTCTACTCTGCCCTTGTGAGACCCACCTGCAGCGCAGGGTCCAGTTCTCAGCCCCCAGCACAAGAAGGACATGGAATTGCTGGAGCAAGTCCAGAAGTAGCCATGAGGATGCTCTGAGGGCTGGAGTCTCTCTGCTCTGAGGCACGCTGGAGGAGCTGGGGGCAGCCTGGGGAAAAGAAGACTTCAGGGAGAGCTTAGAACTGCTTCCAGGGCCTAAAGGGGCTCCTGCACAGCTGGAGAGGGACTTTGGACAAGGGCCTGGAGTGACAGGACACGGGAGAATGGCTTCCCACTGACACTTAGAGGGGATACTGGAAGGAAATTGTTCCCTGTGAGGGTGGTGAGGCCCTGGCACAGGTTACCCAGAGCAGCTGTGGCTGCCCCATCCCTGGAAGTGTTCCAGGCCAGGCTGGACAGGGTTAGAGCGACCTGGTTTAGTGGAAGGTGTCCTGCCCATGGCAGGAGGCTGGAATGAGGTGAGCTTTCAAGTCCATTCCAACCCAAACCATTCCATGATTCTGTGATTCTCCTCTGTATTGACCATCCCTGGGCAGAGGAGCCAAGCTCCTGCAGCCACTGCTGCCCATTCCAGGAGGCTGAATCCTTTCCAGGAGCAAACTTCCCACAGGGGAGCTGCCAGCTCACGAGGTGGTGAGGAAGAGGATGTTTTCAGGAGCACAGTTCAGGTGTCTCCCATGTGCTGAGAGCTCAGGGCAGCAGGGCAGGTCACCCACTGGCAGCATGCTGGCCCCAGTTCACTTGGGATTAGAAACACAGTAATTAAATATTATTTATTCTTAATTAAATATTATTTAAATAAATAATATAAAGATAAATTTATATTATGTTATATTATATTATGTTATGTTATATTATATTATATCATATAATATCATATCACATTATATCACATCACATTATATATTATATATATATTATATATTATATATTGTATATTATATAATATATATTATATATTATATAATATATATTATATATTATATAATATATATTATATATTATTTATATTATATTATATTATATATTATATATTATATTATCATATAACATCATATAGTTGTTTATATGTATGTTATATGTATGTGTATATATATGTTATATTTATAATGTATCTAACGTATATAATATAATATAATATAATATAATATAATATAATATAATAATATATAATAATATATAAAGATATATAATAATATTTAATAATATATAATAATATTTAATAATATTTAATATAATCATATATAATAATATAGAATATAATAATATATAATAATATGTATTATTTTTAAACCCCATGATGGAGAGCACAGGTGAGCCAGGCTCACTTCCAGAGCTCTCCTGGCTCACACCATTCCTGCCACCATCCCCAGGGCAGGGACTCTGTGCAGAGCACGCTCTGGCAGCACCTTGAGGCCGTTCTGTCTGTGTGTCCCCACCATGTGCAGGGCTGCAGTGGCTCTGGGGACCCCGGCGAGTACAACCTGCGCTCCCGCACCGTGGTGTGTGGCACGTGTGGCCAGCCGGCCGACAAGTCGGGCTCCCAGAACGCCGGCATCACCTCCATGTCCTCGGGCTCGTCCAGCTCCAGCGTCACCGTCACCCGCAGCTACCGCAGCATGGGCGACTCGGGCATCGGCCTCGGGGACAGCCTGGTGACCAGGAACTACCTCCTGGGCAGCTCCAGCCCCCGCAGGCAGGTCAGTGCCATCCCAGTGACAGTGACAGTGCCAGGCCTCTGGTCAGTCCCTGGCACCCTGTCCTGCCACTGTCCTTTCCCCGCAATGCCATCCCCTCCCAGCTCTCCTTCTCCTGCTCTTCCTCTTCCTCTTTGGGCTCACACAAACCTCTTTATAAGGGATGGAGGGTTCTGGGAGGGATTGGAAAGGGATGTGGCCGTAGCAGCCTCCCACCCCATTTTGTCTTTCACTCATCCCCCTTGGCCCCCCAGAGCATTCCCTGCAATGCTGTCCCCTCCAAGCTCTCCTTCTCCTGCTCTTCCTCTTTGAGCTCACACAAGCTTCTTTATAAGGGATAGAGGGTTCTGAGAGGGATTGGAAAGGGATGCTTCCCACCCCGTTCTATCTTACATTCATTCCCCTTGGCGCCCCAGAGCATTCCCTGCAATCCTGTCCCCTCCCTGCAATCCTGTCCCCTCCCAGCTCTCCTTCTCCCTGCTCTTCCTCTTTGGGCTCACACAGGCTTCTTTATAAGGGATGGGGGGTTCTGGGAGGGATTGGAAATGCTTCCCACCCCATTCCATCTTACACTCAGCCCAATTTGCACCCCAGAGCATTCCCCATCCTCTACATTGTGACTGTTTTTACAGGGGTCTTAGAAGGAGGGAAGAGATGAGGATCTGACTGTTTCAGAAGGCTTGATTTATTATTTTATGATATATATTATATTAAAACTATACTAAAAGAATAGAAGAAAGGATTTCATCAGAAGGCTGGCTAAGAATAGAAAAAAAAAGAATGATAACAAAAGTTTGTGGTTCAGACAGAGAGTCTGAGCCAGCTGACTGTGATTGGCCATTAATTAGAAACAACTCTATGAGACCAATCACAGATCCACCTGTTGCATTCTACAGCAGCAGATAACCATTGTTTACATTTTGTTCTTGAAGCCTCTCAGCTTCTCAAAAAAAAAAATCTTAAAAAAAAGGTTTTTCATAATAGATGTCTGTGACACCACATCACTCATTCCACTGCTGCTGAGTAATGTGAATATTTCAGCACTTTATATCTCTATATTGGATTAATATACAATATATTCTATATTGATACTTTTAGTCAATATTATAATCCTCATATATCACCTACCATTAATCCTCAAATTTTGGAACTATGAACATCCCAGCTTGGGAGGATTTATTTATCACACCCCAAGGGTTAGGATGGAGGAGAACCTGGGGGCACTGTGGGCACCCAAAAGATCCCACTGGACACTTTGCAGTCAGAGCAAGTGGATGGTGACACTGGTGACACTGGGGTTTTCTTAACTCTCTTTTTTTCTTTCTCCCTTCCAGGCTCAGGCTGTGCAGAACTGCAGCATCATGTAATTCCATGGCGCATTCCTGTGGTTCCTGCCTGTCTCCAGCTAGGTTTGTTTTTTTTTTTTCCCAAAGCAAAGAAATTTTTTTCCCTTTAAAAAACAAGATATCAAAAACCAAGGTTGTTTTTTTTTTGTTTTGTTTTCTATAGCAGGAATTTTATATATATATATATTAAAAGTGCTAAAAGATGCTTTGATTTTTTTTTTGTAAAGAAAAAAATCTATTTCTATATAAAGAAAACCAAACCAAAAAATAGCTTTTCAGCTTCAAATATTTTTTAGAACTTCAGCCAAAGACAGCAAAGAACTGTGTTTACAGAGCAGCCATGCAGGAGGAGTCTGTAGTTGAAATGCTCCTTCCATTGTACCTTTTTTGCCAAAGCTTTTTACATAGGACAGGGAGAAGCGCAGCCGTACCCACTGGAGCTGCGTGCCACAGGGCCTGCTGTCCTGTCTCAAGTGGAGCACAGTGCCTTTACAACCCTTTTTTTCTTGGGATCTGAAGCCAAAATTCCCTTTTTTTTTTTTGTCTCGTTTTTGAGTTGCGATTCCCGGCGGTGCCGGCGCGGGGGCTCCCGGCAGCTCGCGGGCGATGCCCACATCTCTGTGCGGCCATTGCCCCCTCCCCAGCCCCCTGCCCGCCTGCCCTCCCTGCTCTGTGTACTGTATCTCCCTGATTCCCCATCCCAGGCACCTCTTGCCCTTTTTCTAAATCAGCCAAGTTGTGCCTTAGCTGAGGGGTTGGGCCGGGAGCCCCACTGGAGCGGAGATGGAGCAGGGCAAGTGAAAACAGCGGAGCTGCGTTTTGGGACCAGATGGATTTGACAGCTGGGGTGATGGAGCTCAGTCCCACGAGCTCAGCCCCAGCAGGGTTCCCCCAGGACCCCTCTTTGAGAGCCACTGCATCCACAGGGGTTCATCCCCCCAAGAGGGGTTCATTCCCCAAAGGGGTTCACCCCACTGCATCCAGAGGGGTTCACCCCACAGAGGGGTTCATCCCCATCTGCATCGAGAGGGATTCATCCCCACTGCATCCAGAGGGGTTCATTCCCCAAATGGGTTCATCCCCCAAAGGGGTTCATCCCCACTGCATCCAGAGGGGTTCATTCCCCAAAGGGGTTCATCCTCCCTGCATCCAGAGGGGTTCATTCCCCAAAGGGGTTCATCCCCACTGCATCCAGAGGGGTTCATTCCCCAAAGGGTTTCACCCCCATCTGCATCCAGAGGGGTTCACCCCACAGAGGAGCTCACCCCCACTGCATCCAGAGGGGTTCATCCCCCCAAGAGGGGTTCATTCCCCAAAGGGGTTCATCCCCACTGCATCCAGAGGGGTTCACCCCCATCTGCATCCAGGGGGTTCATCCTCCCTGCATTCAGAGGGGTTCAACCCCCCGAGGGGTTCATCCATCCAGAGGGGTTCATCCCACACTGACTCAGAGGGTTCATCCCTCTCTGCATCCAGAGGGGTTCATCCCCCAAAGGGGTTCATCCCCAACTTATCCAGAGGGGTTCATCCCCACTGCATCCAGAGGGGTTCATCCCCCAGTGATCCAGAGGGGTTCATCCCCCCCAAGAGGGGTTCATACATCCAGAGGAGTTCATCCCCACTGCATCCAGAGGGGTTCACCCCCATCTGCATCCAGAGGGGTTCACCCCACAGAGGGGTTCACCCCACTGCATCCAGAGGGGTTCACCCCACAAAGGGGTTCATCCCCGACTGATCCAGAGGGGCTCATCCCATCAGAGGGGTTCATCCCCCTTGCATCTGGAGGGGTTCCCCCACCTTCCCTCAGCTGCAGTCATTCAGGCTCGTCTCTGGTGGCCAGAGCTCAGGAGCTGTTTCAGGGATTAAGAGAAAGATGTTCAGTCCAGGTCAGAGCTGGTTGGCCAGGAAAGCACCCAGGAAGGCTTTTTGTTCGACTGAGGCGGATTTTGGGGTCTGATAGGTGCAGCTTCCCCCTTGGCAGGAGCCCATCCAGCCTTTGGCAGAGATCTCTTGGCTTTTTGCCTGGATTGGGAAACGCCTGCAGCCCCCCCTGACCTCAAGGGCAGCAGAGGGGTGGGGCTGGAGAAGGTGCCAGGACAAGCCCCCCACTCCAGTGCGTTTTGGGGAGCTCGTGTATGTATCTATGCTTGCAAAGCTTCTGTATTACTGCCTGTACTTTCTTCCAGACTCAAAATACAGCTGAACCCTTCCCATGCCGTGTGCTGTCATCATTGCTCACCAGGGGGATTTGGGGGTGCTGTGCTGCCCCCCCAGCAGCAAAGGGACCCCCCCAGGGATCTCTTTCCACCCCACAGGCAGGGCTGGGGCTCAGCACCCACTGTGGAGGGGGGAAATGGGGTGATCCCCTACACAAGGGTGGGTCACTAAGAGCTGGGCCAGGGGGTGGAATTTGAGGTAAGGACTCAGAGATTCCTCTTGAGGTTTTGGGGACCCAACAATCCCCAGGATGGGCTGGAGGGGTGCTGGAATTTGAGTAAGGACCCAGAGATTCCTCTTGGGGGTTTTGGGGACCAAACAATCCCCAGGATGGGATAGGGGGAGCTGGAATTTGAGGTAAAGACTCAGAGATTCCTCTTGGGTTCTTTTAGACCAAACAATCCCCAGGATGGGCTGGGATGGGCTGGGGGGGCTGGAATTTGAGGTACAGACTCAGAGATTCCTCTTGGGGTTTTCGGGACCCAACAATCCCCAGGATGGGCTGGAGGGGCTGGAATTTGAGGTAGACACAGAGATTCCTCTTGGGGGTTTTTAGACCAAACAATCCCCAGGATGGACTGGGGAAGTGGAATTTGAGGTACAGACTCAGAGATTCCTCTTAGGGTTTTGGGGACCCAAACAATCCCCAGGATGAGCTGGGATGGGGGGCTGAAATTTGAGGAAAAGACTCAGAGATTCCTCTGGGGTTTTTTTAGACCCAACAATCCCCAGGATGGGATGGAGGGGCTGGAATTTGAGGTAAAGACTCAGAAATTCCTCTTGGGGTTTTTTAGACCAAACAATTCCCACTATGGACTGGGGAAGTGGAATTTGAGGTACAGACTCAGGGATTCCTCTAGGGGGTTTTGGGGACCCAAACAATCCCCAGGCTGGGATGGGGAAATGGGGGGCTGGAATTTGAGTAAGGACCCAGAGATTCCTCTTGGGGTTTTTTAGACCAAACAATCCCCAGGATGGGATGGGGGGCTGGAATTTGAGGTAAAGACCCAGAGATTCCTCTTGGGATTTTGGGGACCAAACAATCCCCAGGATGGGCTGGGATGGGGGGCTGAAATTTGAGGAAAAGACTCAGAGATTCCTCTGGGGGTTTTTAGACCAAACAATCCCCAGGATGGGCTGGGGGGGCTGGAATTTGAGTAAAGACCCAGAGATTCCTCTTGGGGGTTTTGGGGACCCAACAATCCCCAGGATGGGATGGGGGGGCTGCAATTTGAGGTAAGGACCCAGAGATTCCTCTTGGGGTTTTGGGGACCCAACAATCCCCAGGCTGGGCTGGGATGGGGGCGCACAGAACCTGAGCGGAGCTTTGCTCCTGCCCCTCTGCCAAGGGACCCCCTGTGCCCCCGGGCCGTGCCAGGCACTGCAGCCGGGCAGGACGCTGGGGAGGGCAGCTCTAAAGCCGCTGCATAATCGGCTTTGCCAGGCACAGCGCTGCGGAGCCGCGATGTGAGCGAGGGACGCGGGCGGGCGGCCGGGGCGCAGGCACTGCCAGGTAGGTGCCAGGGGTGCCCGGCCTGGGGGTACCCCCTGTGCTGGATACCTGAGCCCCCCTGTGCTGTGTGGGGTCGCATCACCGCAGGTTTGGGGGCAGCAGGGCTGAGGTTTGGGGGGCAGGGGGTGCCAGGGGGTGCCAGGGGTGTTGGTGCCAACTCCCAGCTTCAAGGGAGGCTGTGGAGGTGAGAGAGGTGCCACCTCCCAGGACAGGGTTGGCTCTATGATGCTTTTATCCCCAACCATCTCGTTCTGTTTGTGCTGAATAATAAGTTTTGCACCTTTAAGAGTGTTCCAGAGAGTGAAGGGGGGAGAGAAGTGCACAGGTTTTGTTTTTTCCCTCCACATTCCTGCTCCTGCTTTCTTACCGTAGCCCCTTTGGGGATTCTCTCCCAAATTTGAACCAGGACAGGGGCACAGGGAGGTGACACAGGCCCACAGCATGGGAGGGGACACAGTGTCCCCCTCTCTGTGCTGTTTGCCTCCCATTCCTGTCAGCTGGACAGCCACCCACACATTCCTGCATCCCATCCCCTTCCATTCAACCCTTCCCCAGGGTGCCTGCCCCAAAAAAGTCATGAGGTTGTGCCCAAAATAGCACGTTCTGGAGTGATGGGGGAAGCCAGCCGTGCTGCTGGCATCTTCCTGGGAGGAGACAGGCCAGGAGACACGGGGACTGCCATGGGGAACTGCCATGGGGAAATGCAACAGGGAACTGACGGCCTGCATCGTCCCCGTGTCCCCTGTGGGGAACACAGAGTCCTGGCACCGGGGAAAGGCTGAGCTGGAGCTCCATGGGGGCTCTGCACAGCCCCCAGGGGACAATACAGATGTTGTGGGTTCCTTACAGACCCACATGGGGTCTGTCACAGCCCCCAGGGGACAATGCAGATGTTATGGGGTCCTTACAGACCCACATGGGGTCTGTCACAGCCCCCAGGGACACTACACAGCCCTCTAAGGACAATACAGATGTTGTGGGGTCCTTACAGAGCCCCACAGGGGTTCTGCCCAGCTCTTAAAGGATAATATTGACATTGTGGGTTCCTTACAGACCCACATGGGGTCTCTGCAGAGCCCCAGGGACATTGCAAAGCCCTGTAAGGACCATGCAGACATGATGGGTCCCTTAGAGAGCCCCTTGGGGTCTCTGCACAGCCCTCTAAGGACAATACAGATGTTATGGGTCTCTTACAGACCCATATGGGGTCTGTCACAGCCCCAGGGACATTGCAGAGCCCTGTAAGGACAATATTGACATTATGGGTTCCTTAAAGAGCCCTCAGGGACACTGCAGAGCCCTGTAAGGACCATACAGACATTTTGGGCTCCTTACAGACCACATGGGGTCTCTGCACAGCCCCAGGGACACTTCACAGCTTTCTAAGGACAATACAATGTTATAGGTTCCTTACAGAGCCCCATGGGGACACTGCACAGCCTCAGGGACATTGCAGAGTCCTGTAAGGACAATACAGATGTTATGGGTTCCTTACAGAGCCCCGTGGGGTTTGTCACAGCCCCCAGGGACATTGCACAGCCCTTTAAGGACAATACAGATGTTATGGGTTCCTTACAGACCCACATGGGGTCTTTGCACAGCCCCAGGGACACTACACAGCGCTCTAAGGACAATACAATGTTATGGGTTCCTTACAGAGCCCCAGGGACATCGCAGAGTCCTGTAAGGACAGTGCTGACATTTTGGGCTCCTTACAGAGCCCCTTGGGACCCAGGCACTCCCCACAGGGTCCTGGCACTCCCTGGTGTGGACCTTGCACAAGCTCATGGGGACCTTTGCACGTCCCTGTGGGGCCTCGTGCAGCCCGTGGGGACCTTGCCCAGCCCACAGGGACCTCACACGCTCTGCAGAGGAGCCTGTGGTGGATCTCCAGCCCTACTGCAGCCAAAGCACGGACTCGAGGTCAGGTTTGTCCCTCCCCTCCCGTTGTCCCACGGATCCGAGCCCTGAGAGGGCGGCTCAGAGGAGGGCGGTGGGGTCCCACAGCAGGGCCACGGCCATGCTGGGGTCTCTCAGAGTCGCTCAGGGCAGGCAGGAGCACCAGGTTGGAGGGCCACCAGAATTTTTGGGGGGAAATCCAGCCCAGGAAGCCTTGGAGCAACCACTGTGATGGGGCAGGGCTGGGAGTGCCTGCAGTGCCTGGCAGGGCAGCAGGGATTGCCAGGCAGGGCCCAGGGGCGCTGGGGGCCCTGCCAGCCCCAGGGCAGCCCCTCCAGGCCCCTGCATGCCCGGGGAGATTAAGGTCAAGCCACCCTGCTAATCCCAAAGGGGGGGCTGAG